GGGATCCAAAGGTGACTACTCTGTCATCGATCTTCTTCTTTCACTCTCAACAATGACACCCAATTTTGAGATCGATCTTAGAGAAGACTACAGCTTCTTGCAGTTGGTCGAAGAGATCATCGATTCGAGGTAAGGGGTACTTACTTTTAATGGTCACTTGATTGAGTTCCCTATAGTCCACGCAGAGTCAGATGGTACCATCCTTTTTCTTTACGAACAACACCGGAGTGCCCCAAGGTTCGGCTAAGGCGAATGAATTTTGGGGTGATAAGATCATAAAGTTGATGTTCAAGCTATGTTAACTCAGTGCGATATGCGAGCTTCAAAATTGGCTGGGTTCTGAGCAATAATTCAATCAGGAACTCTGCCTCACATAGGGGAGGTAGACTAAGGAGTTCGATGGGAAAGACATCAGAAAAATTGCAAACAATGGGCCTGGAACACACAGCAGGATCAACGTCCATATTCCTGTTTATTCAATTGTTAAAAAAATGATAACAACTTTTATTTCTTTTTCGGGAATCGTAAAGTTACAATTTTACTTTCATTGTCTATTATAACTCTATACTTTTCCAACCAATCCATTCCTAATATTACATCAAATCCTACAAAATATAATAGTATCAAGTTTACACATATTTCTATCCCTGAAGTTTTTATCCTACAGTCCTTATATGCGCAATTAGCCTCTAGTAGTCCCCATAGAGGGAGTTTTCAATACTAGCATTTTTTCTAAAGCTTTTAGTCTCAATTTTAGGTTACTAGCAAATGCATAGGAAATAAAAGAATGAGTTGTACCAGTATCGATCAAAGCCTTGGAAGGAAATATTATGAATAGAAAGCATACCCTGAATAAGAACAAGAGTAGGAAGGACTTCAGTTTCATCTAAACGGTACACTCGACCTTATGCTATGGGTTGGGCTACATCTTTTGATCGCTGAGGGCTATCTTTTATAAGGTACTGGGTGCTTTCGCACCAATAGCAAGCATGATTGATACGCTGACATGGTAGGTCACCATATGAGTGACCACAATGTTGACAAGGTTGGATAGTTCAGGCAGGTGCGGCTGTAGGTGGGGGCAAGGCAAGAGGAAGGGCAATTTTGGTTCGTTTCTCTGGGGGGTTACTTACTGTGTCAAACAATCTCTTTCTAAGCTGTTAGAGTAGTTATTGGGCTCGAACTAGAGCACAACATTGGTGCTTTGCCAAGATAAGATCTTTGACCAACTAGAAATGTTCAAGCACCTCTACATATGAGCTGTCTCAACATCGTGACCCGATCATAAATGTCAGTACAAAGGTCGTTGAGAAACTTCCTAACTTTTTGGCTTTCGGGGGTGACCATTAGAGGGGCAAACCTAAACAACTGAACAAATTGGGCTGCATATTGGGCTACATACAAGCTTTCTCTACGGAGGTCCTGGAATTTCTCCTTTTTTTTTTCCTGAACATAAGCAGAAAAGAAGTTATCAAAGAAAGCATCCATGAAAACTTCCCAGGTAGTAGGGGTAAACATGACTTCTTTCTTAAGTTGCCACTAGTGTTTGGCTTCAACGTTTAACATGAAGGCTGCAAGAGGGACTTTTGTTCTTTAGTCAGGTTTAGTACAAAGAAGAGCTTTTCTATTTGTATGATCCAGGCTTCAGCTACTAAAGGATCAGGGTCACCTTCAAAGTATGGGGGGTTAAGTTTCCTAAACTCTGCTATATTATAGGGGATAAACCGATTTGGGTTTCAAAACTCAGGGGCAGGGGGTGACAATGGTTGGCCTGGTTTTGTCCTATTGTTGCGGTTAATCCTTAAAAATTTTGGAAAAGTTCTGCAAATTCAGCTCTGGTCGGATGATTCAGGGCTTCAGGTCGTTCAGTACGTTCTATAAATGGTCTTTCCCACGTCATTCCTACAAAAGAAAGGAAGACACGAGTTGGAGATTTAATCTTTGAAAGGAGGACATTTATCTTTCTTATGTATTCTAAACGGTTTATCTATCCTAGGCCTCAGTGTAAGGGATTTATTCCCCAATATTCTGTTCTGATACCACCTGTGACATCCTAGGTGCCAATTAAGACAAATGGGTGTCAAATACAGATTTAGAATAACGAGTGCATAATAATATTTGTGCAGCAAAATCAAACCTTAACAAATCCTTTACATCTATATATATATAATGTTCCAAATACATACATCACTGAGGCCAAAAGTGGCTATAAAATATAAAACATAAGGGCTACTTCTTTCACTATGTTAGTGGAATTCATTAGAGTGCGAAAAAAAACATGCACTCAAACTTGTGGATCCACAAGATCCTCAAAGACTTCCAATGGTATGTCTACCTGCGGTTCCTCATTTTTCTTCCTCATCTGGGGGGATGGAAAGAGTGAGTTCCATATACTTAGTAAGGAAATAATATTAAATTAACTTCGTAAGATTTTAAAATTTTATTATTTTTCTTACTGTTTAACTTCCTTGTTTACCTAACTCATCATTAGAAAAAACTATTTATTTGAATATCAAAATAGTATGTTAGTACAAAAAAATAAAATATACTTATATCATGCCAAATAATAGAGAAAATCACATGAATCATGAAATGCACAGATTTTTTGTGTCATGCTTCACAAAGTTGTTACAAACTTTCATATATGAGGGCATATACAAATACATATTTCTAACTGCCCAATTAGAATGATCAGATCAAATACAGATACGAGAATTTGCTCAAGCAACTTCTGGCTGACAAAACTATGGTATGATCTATGACCACGGCCGTAGCAACCATAGTGGTCCTAACAGATAGTCTATAGTCACGACATTACTTAGCCACGGGTGACCCCTACAGAGAGTGTGATACCATTCTTGTCAGAGGGCACGCCGTCATTCACTAGGAGCAGTCCTCTTACATCTTTCAAGACCAGATAGGGGAGGGAGAAACAGGTACCCCGAAGGG